CACACACACACCACTTCTCCAGACCCCCTGCCTGTTCCATTCTCCCCTGTGTTTTAATCCTACTTGTCAGTAATTAAGGCTGAGCCGGGGGTGGGGCAGGACGTGGATATCTCCAGGCAGGGGTTTGACTATAAACTGGATTTATAATGCGAGAATGGTATTAAAACCCACTGCCCCCGCTGCTAGCATCAATGAGCCCATCTCTGTTCCATAACAGGATTTGTCCTCTGCTTTATTACAAAGGGAGGCCTGTCTTCTGAAAGGCTAGATATCCCAGCTGGCATATAATACGCTGACAAGACATTCTGCTGTTGATCCGCCCTCCTCATCCTCCTCATCTCTCCCTCTCTCTCAAGGTGTCAAACCCAGCCAGTGCAGCTCCGTCAAGCGTCACCTGATGCTTCCTATACTGAGCAGTGGCTTTAAATGAATGCGTATTTTTGTGGAAACATAACTTGCATTTTAATTTAATGAATGTAAACATTTTAACTCCCCATCAGCCTTTTGCTAAAATGTGATTCAGAGACGTAACGTGATGAGAGAATCTCCAGTTGTAGAATCGTTGAAAAAGACAGTAATATGTTGCACACTGCATTAAAGGCTCAGCTCACTTAAATTACTAATAAACATATTTTCTTACCTAATGGTATTTATGAAGATGACATTTGCTGATATGGTTTCAGGTTTTCACAATTATTAGAGAGATCTGCCTCCAACTTTTTAAAATGTGAACGGAATTTATTTTCCTCACTCTCAAGATTGAAAATGATATTTTAGAAATAAAACCTGCAAATACCAACTGGTCGCACACAGAGTCTGCTCCTCTCCATTGTCTCCAAGTGTTTGCTGGTTTGGGGAAATGTTGGGCTTCTCTCAAATATTGTAAGGTCTCGACTTTGCTTTTCAGATATACATTGACCGCCACAAACAAAGTTATATTTGTCCCCCTGGAATAGAGAAACGCTCGGAGATGAATAAAACATGAAAGAAAACGAAATGCTTGCCAATAGAAGCATCTGAGAAACTACGCATTTTGGTAACTCTGATAAACTAATCTTTTAAAATACATTTCTCTTGGGTTCTTTCTAGGCGCACCCCTCGTAATCATACTATGTCTTGTCACTTTTATACTCACTATAAAGTGAAAATAACCAAGAATCTTTAAGAAATGAAAAAATAGATAGTATAGATGTTTATTTTATCCATTTTTCCTCTTTGGGTCTTTTGGATTCTATTCACCTCTTTGTATTCTTTTGTCCTCTCTGGTTTTCAGTCTTTGTGTCCACTCTCTTCATCTCTAAATCTTTTTTCCCTCCTCTCTTTCCTAAGTGTCTTCTTCATTCAAACCTCTGCTCCCCGTCTTATGTCTCTGTCTTTCTGAATAGATTGTGATTTAGCTGTAGTGTCGTCTCTCTAGAGGGAGACATATTGTCACAGACCTTGTGGAAATGAGAGCAGGGGATATTACTTTGTGTGTTTGTGTGTGAGTATTTCGCCTGAGCACTGTCCTCACCCTCCTGGCCAATGATGTTAAGCTCTGTGAACAATTCAACCTGTTTGAATACAGATAAATAAGTTTGCTCTGAAGGTTTCACGATCAAAGGATTTTGGTGTTGTCTCTCGTTTTGTGTCTTCTCTTGCTCGGGAATCTGTTTATAATGTCTGTGTCCTCCTCCTCTCTCAGTCGTCTGCACTCCAACAACCTCCACTGTGACTGTCACCTGTCCTGGCTCTCTGATTGGCTCAGAGCCAGACGGGGCTTGGCTCCCTTCACTCAGTGCATTGCCCCCGCCCACATGAGGGGCCTCAACGTCCCGGATGTGCAGAAGAAGGATTTTGTTTGCAATGGTGAGTTAACATTAACGCACATATGATTCTACTCAAATATCACAGAGCTGAAGCACATATTCTGTCTGTGATCATCACAGTGATACTACTACTCCTTGACTGAAAGCCACTGCGCTTTTAGTTTCTAGTTACACTCATCGTTTTTCATTGGTTTTGGGGAAAAACACTGTAAAAATATTTTTGCAGACTAGCTGCCTGTTTTGGCTTTACAATATTGACACATGAGCTGTATTTAAGAATGAAATCTAGTCTGTCAAATAATGTTTTCACAAAGAATTGACCTAACACAGTTCACACACACACTGATGTTTATGATACAGACTTCAGAGAGAGTCAAGTGCACATTGTGTACATTTGAATTTAGTGCCACAGAGAGCTGACTCTTTGACGTATACAGAGAACGTAATAAACCTAAAGGCCATTATTACAAGCGGCATTGTTATCGTCTCCAGACAGCTCAGCATCGAGTTTATAACACTGAGAGAATTACATCGTGTAAAGCGCATAATCAGCTAAAAGGCCAGTATAAGAGCAGTGGTGTTATCAGTCGCAGATAGTATAGGCAATGTTTATAGGCCTCTGATTCAGCTCTCTGTGCTAATAGACTGTCAAGCTGCTGCCTCTTTATTGGCCTCTTGCCCCGATTCTTCTTCCGACATGATACCAGACCTCTCTCTCTCTTTTCATTCCTTCCCTGCCTCCTTACCTCGGCCTCAATCTCATGTCTTCCTCAAATATTTCTGTGTCCTTCTTTCTTGTCCTTACGTACTGCTTGTGTTTAGATGTAATCAGTAATTCAGTGTATATACAGTTTCTTCCTGATTCCAGAGACTCGCCCTGTGAACTTTATCTGCATATCACTTTCTATAGGTCCCGCCCAGACCGAGTTGAGGACGTGTGTTCCACAGTTGGCTGTGTGTCCACAGAGCTGCAGCTGCAACAACAACATCGTGGACTGTCGTCGCAAAGGCCTCACTGAAATACCAGCCAACCTCCCGGATGCAATCGTAGAAATGTAAGACTGTCTTTACTTTGTTTTCCTCAGAAGTGACCAATGTTCAACACACCAGTTCAAACTGACTAGTACAAGGCACATTACCAGATTTAAATGCACATATTTCTTAATATTGATCATATTTGCCAATATCATCCAAATGATGTGCTTTGGCAAAAAAATATGTTTTGCTTCTACTGCCCTACATTCATTTAACAGGTATAGTTACAAGTTCCTACAGTAACTATACAACAGTTAGCGTGGCCATTCTGTAAAATGAGTGTGTTTATTTTTAGGACATTGGATATTGACTTTCTTTCTTATCTTTAAGAGCAAGTTCTTGGTCTTGATTGAATCCTGTTTGTTTGCAGATTTTCTCAGATTTACTGTCCTGAACAACCATTGCTTCAGTTTGAGTCCTCCTCCTCACGCTCAGGCTGCTTCTGCACTCATGAACTCTGAATACTGTTCCAGTTTTTTCATTTTAGTAAAATGATCCTGTCAAAATTCCCCAATAGAATGCCAGGTATGACGTTGACCAACATTTCATTGCGGCAGCTTTACCTCTTACAGCGTCCAGTACAGGCCGTTACTGTTAACCAGGTTTAACGTCTCACTCGCCATCATGGGTCATATTTTATTGTAATGGCGCTATTTTTTTTTTTAGCAGCTTAAAGTGGTGAAATCATATTTGTGGTGGGGGGATTATACAGCTATGATAACAACAATACATCTGTGTGCAGACAAACAAACATTACATGTCTGCACAGGGGATGTTGACGAGAGAAGGTCAGGGTTTGAGGGAAAACTGCACAAAGCGGGAACATGAAATGAAGAAATAATGCTCTCAAAATTAAAGACCACAGTCTTGAATAAAGATTGGAAAGAAACCCCATAATTTTTCTGCTAATACTTATGTGCCTAAGTCCAATTTTGAACTCAGGACTTTCACTTGTGGTGGAATATTTTTCACTGTGAACTTTCGACACGTCCATGTGGTCCTGGAGGTTTACCAGGCAGGTGATTCACCGTGATGAACTCGTGACCGTGGCTCACCTTTGAGTCTTGCAGTGGTCTTCACTTTCAGATTGCAGCTCTGAGACACTTTCCCTCCTCTTCCTCTTTTAGTCCCTTACACGCATATTTAAACGCACACACTCCCCCCATGCAGGGACGTGTTGGATATCCGTATTGATCGCTGCACCCTGTTTGTTTGTACAGAGGACAGCTGCTTGATTGGTCTGTAAGTAAAGGAGCAATTCTCCCCCTGCAACGCTACACCAAGACCGCTTTACCTCCCCAGCATAGCTAATAGAATCTCACAGACATACCAATGCACACGCATGTAGGAAGACCAAGAGTTTTATTTCCTAAAGCAAAAACATACTTTGGCACAAATACATCCTACTGCCATCTTACACACACGCACAATCCTGACGGGTCAGACACACACATATATGCATTCTGAAAAAGCCACAGGCACCAAAACATATCTGATGAACTCTCTTGAGGACACACACACACACACACACACCCACACACAGATAGCATTAGCATTGGATCCATTCTAATAAATGTTCTTGTTGCAGCCAGAAACAATAGAGTGTAATAGGATGATGTATTGTCAGTCCTCCAAATGAGACAAAGTCATCTTTCTGCATGCT